ATAACTTTCAAAGCAAACTTGCAGACCTTACTAAAGATGAAAGGCATTTATAGGAGTTTAAAGAAAAAAAAAAAAAAAGCCAAGTGTTTGGAAAAAGAGGGTACTGACAAATTACTAAAGAAAGAAGGTGCATCAGACTCAGGAAATCCCTCATACAAAAATAGTTGGATGTGGGCAAGGAGTCAGGTTAAGCCTCACATAAAAACTTATTATGTTTCTGTGCTACATGTTTGCTTAGGGCTAGAGTCAAAACCAGGACACAGGGCAAGATGCACGCTGAAACAATTTATCACCGCTGTTAGGTAGGATGCAATTTGTAAGAAAGAACAACAGAGTAGCTTTGCCATCAAGAAGCTCTCCTCAATGGATTCTCACCACTATACATAAAAATATTGTTTCAGTATGGTGCAGCTGAGCTCATGCTAAAGGATTCCAACAACCTACACCAGGTTATTTCCATGTCTTGTGGTACAAGACATGGAAAGCAGCGGGAAAGGGAGAAAAAGATTCTGAAAATGTAATCTGCTGCATTTTCAACAGCTCTCTGCAGACAGCAATCCACCCTTCCCCAGAGCACCTGCAGTGCTCTTGTCATGCTCGTACACAACAAGAGCAATGCTACCGGAGAGGCGCGCAGGGAGCCGCAGCCAGCCCCGTGGCCACACAGCTCAGTGCGGCCAAGAGCCCTCCTGGTCCTGCTCTCCCTGTCTCAGTCCATGCTCTCCCACTCCTCCTCCCACACCAGTTCCAGGCTGATCTGAAACCACGCCGATTTCAACTACCTAAAGTAACAGACAACAAGCACAGCATCTGGGAAGCTGCCAGGAGGGGAGTGGATCCTGCCACTTTCAGTATCACGAAGCTGCTGTACATCAGCACATCGATTTCATGAAAAGCCCCACTAATTCACCTGCAGAGCTTTTGGCTAAACATGAAAAAAACCCAACCAAAACAAAGTATTTAAGTATTTTTACATCTTATTTTCAAATATAAACATATTTGTTTGAATACAACAATGCACACCAAGACCTCAGCTTACTGCTCAGTCGACTGAAATAATTTCAAATTGCATTAAAAATGTATAAAGCAATATAGATGTTGCTAGAAAAGCGTGAAGAGAAGTCTGATAAATACAAGCAGAAATTATTTAGTATACATCTGCCTGTAATAAAGTAACTGGATGCAATGGAATGAGAGGTGCTTAATTCTGGAGGAGGGGGAAAGACCAGAAACACACACATCTGTGTAGTAACTATAGATAATAACACTTCCTCTTTCTTACTAAAACACTTGTTTTAAATGCAAAGCAACTTCTCCTCAGGTGTAGTCACCTAATTAAAGTTTGTGTTGTTTAGCTACTAAAGACAGTTTAAAGTCCAAAACAGAACCAAACTTTAGCTTATTTCCCAGCAGCTCAGGTGGGAGGTTCACCTCTTCCAGGTTCTCCTCAAAACAACAAACACCTTAAAAAGGTCAGCTGTAAAGCAGTTTCCAGGACCACCTGAGAACAAATGTAGGCAACAGAGGGAAAGTGTTGCATCTAGGAATGGAACATCACTGGTACAAAAATCAACTACTCAAAGACATACTAGGTGTTGAAAGAAGGGTTTCGATTATCAGGACACTTAAAAGTCTGACATTCAATTTATTTTGGTCAGACTAGAAGGAAAATAAACTTTATTTTATAAGGCTGAGAATAAAGATTCCTAGAAAAGTAATGGGATGATTGCATATAAATCAGGTGACCCTTTATTTTAAAGTAACAAGGTCCTCAAGTTGGAAAGCCATTTATTCTTATACAAAACTGAAAAATTTGGTTTAGTAACAGTGAAAGCCATCACAAGTCTGTAGCACCAGGGTAAGAATAATAGCAATATTTTTCAAACTGAAGTCTGGATCTTTAATTTTCTTTTTGTCCAGACCAACCTTTTTGTAGCACATCTGCTTTCAAAAGACAAAGTAAAGAAAACCAAGAATTCTTTGCTCAGTGTGCACCAGATCAGCAACATGAGCACATTGTAGTTAACTGCTGCAAGACTCTTCCTCGCTGGACAAGTCAGCAGGTTACATAAGCTTTGAATTTTCAAAAATATGAACAAGCACACTAGCATGCCATTGTGAGCCTTAGGCCTTAGAACAATGGGGCATTTTTAAAAAGAATTTGAAATGCTCCACATGATATTGCTTTGTAAAAGATAATGGTTTCATTTTACTTTCCATTCTGCAGCAACAAAAATTTCTGTGTTATTTACAAGCTGATAATATGAGTGCTTGCTAGTTTATGGTATTTAGATACTGTATTATAAAACATACAAGGGATTAAAAGCATTAAAACTTAAAAGGGAAGGGTTTTTTTGAAGTGCATATGTGAAATGTAGAGAAATAGTAAGTGTTTAAAGAAACAAATTCCATTAGAAAGTCAGAAATGCAGTTCTCAGTAGTTTTATTTTTCAGCTGTGTTTTCAACTCATGTATTTAATAAAAAAAAATAACATGAAAGTAAGTGAGCAGAAATCAATTACAGAAGTTAAACTATCTCATTTGGTTTTACTCTGATGAAAAAGATTTTCAAATGCTTGTACTATGTGTCTGGGCAGTTTAAATTATTTGTGTTACTTAAACACCAATTAATTCTTTTTCACCTGATTCAATTTCAGGCAACCTAGTCTGAGAAATTTACTTTGAATAAAAAATGATGCTTGAACTAGATTATTTCCCTTTGAAAATTCTTCATAAGGGTGACAGTTGTCCTGCATCTGTGCTTCTAAAAGGCCTTCCACAATGAGGTGCTGACCCGTAAAAAGGCACATGAGCATTATCACAATTCAAATAAAGGCAGGACTAACTGCTGGATACAAAGACAGAAGTAAAGTAGTTAATGTTCTCAAGCTAGGGTTTTATAGAGAACTGAGAACACTGCCTGTACACATATCAAGACAATAAAAAATACAAAAGAAAGAAACAAGTCACATGTTCATGACACAAGTACCTACTAATTTTCCCATGAAGCAGTTACACTTGATCTCTTTCAAGACTACTGTGAACAAAGACATACAGACATTACATGATTCCATGTAAAGCATATTCAATAAACAAAAGAAATAAAGAGGTTTCAGCAGCAGCAATGTCTGCAGTATCAAACACAGAAGTTTCTGAAGCATAACATCAAACACTAGGATCTAACACCTCACAGAAGTTTTTTCCTCACACACTACTAGTATTACTTTAAATTTATACAGCACTATCCCCAGCTGAACCTCAGAAGATGGTTCTTTGCTAGATTAACCAATAACTGAGCCACAAACAGAACCAGGTAAAATACTGACAATTGTATAAAAGCTCAACCAGCTAAATTGGCCACAATTTCTTCAATGAATGTAGAAACACGCAGTATGCTGGGTTTTCTGTCAACATCAGCCCCATGGTTTCCAGTATCATTTGCTGATCAGTAAAAAACCCAACAAGGCTGTTGAACTTAAACTGAAGTGTCAAAACAGTTGAAAATTGTAATTCCTTCATTCTCCCAGGGGAAATTCAAAGGATTGCTGAGATGTTCATGACAATTCAAAAATCACGTGGATCAGAAAACATACCACATCATCCATTTTATTTCTGCCTATCAAAAAGTGTTCCTGTGGCTCCAGCAGAATCCATCCCCAGCAGCTGCCACAGGGAGCCAAAGGCTCAGAGCAAGAGCTGGCATCACCACTGCATTCCTTCACTCCTGTTACCACGGACAAAGCTCTCTGCACTGGGCATTGCTGGTAACCGGATTAGCAGTTTCAGGCATGTCCAGGAATTCCCACCATCAAGAACATGTTATCTTATGTGTTTTTCATATCAAGATAAAGATAAACATTGCTGGCTTGAGAAAGAGCTATCAGGTATACAAACAAGAGCATTTCCCAAGCTTTGCAAAATTGGTGACCACAGGGGCCACTTCAGTAGCAACACACACACACACAGGCTTGGACAACCAGAGAAAGTCCCACAGCAGCTTGGAAACAGGGCATGGGAGTTATTACTAACAGTGTTACAAGGGCTTTCACAAGGATTTTTTTTCACACTTAAAGCAGTTTTTTAATTGCATGAAGTTTATATTCCCCCACTCCCTAAAATGGCTAAACTGTACTTGCATTTTAAAAACTGGTGACATAGAGGAAAAAAAGTACTGATTAACGGAATCACACTTTTAGAATGCACACACATTGTTCAAACATTGCTTGAGAACAGTGTTATAAAGACATATTTTCCACAAAGCAGAACATATTAGGAACAGCACAGAAGTTCTGATATACAGCAAGTCCAGCACATTTTGTGTAATAAATTATTTAAATTAATAACGTACTTTCACACTAGCTCAACATCTTTTGAACCTTTGTAACCTTGTTTGGAAAAGCAAATACCAGTCATTACAAAGTCATAAGAATCATCAGCCATGTGTACAACATTTGGTCACATCAGAGTCCATGTATTAATATATTCATGACTTATAAAAAGCAGACACTTGCACAAATCATTAACCTAGATTATTAACTGTTACAGCACCCAATAGCTTGCTCATGGTAATAGCTACCTATTCTACCTTGTATTACTGTGGTCACACCCCTCTGTGACATGCCCATAATGTGTTTATAACTTGGAACAGTTCATAAGTGACTTATAAAAAATCTTCAAATAAAAAATGCCCCTGTGCCTCTTTTTTTTTTAAACCATCTGGGCTCTCAAGACGCAATATGTGAAAGTACAAAGCAAAGATGAAAACAATATACATCTGATTTTAAGATGACAGATGAAGAAAAAGGGTTTTTGTTGTTTAAAAAATATATATACAAGGTATTGACTATTCTCAAGCTAACAGTGAAACAGTATAATCAAGAGCATAATTTTATGTAGTTTTAAATAAAGTGCAGTTGGAAAAGTGACAGTTTATGTATAATTAACTGAACTGCAGTGAACGTAAAAACAGCATCACGCTTTCAGTCAGTATAATCACTTACCAATTTCAGCAGGTAGTTGCTTGATTTTGTTCTCTCGTATGCTAAGCATGGTGAGTTTTGACAAGTTTTTGATATCCTTTTCCACAGTAGTTATACGATTAAAGCGTAGGTACAGCGTGGCGAGGGAGCTTAGCCTGTACACCACCGAGGGGATTTCTCGCAGTTTGTTATGCCGCAGGTCAAGCATGCGCAGCTTCTTCAAGTTATCAAGAGAGTCAGGCAAACTTGTGAGTGAGTTTTCACTCAGAGCCAGCGTCACCAGGTTCACCAGACAGCCCACCTCTGCTGGTAGGCACTGCAGTTTGTTACTGTATAAATAAAGTTCTGTTAACTGCGTTAGCTCTTTGACAGCTGATGGAAGCAAGTGTATAGACCTCTTGGACAAGTCCAAGCGCATAGAATTCTCTTCCCGGCATTTATTTAGCTCTTTGATCACCTCAGCATTGCTGGATTTTTTGCGAGTACCTGTGGCAGGATTAGGTCTTTTTATTGTATTGTCCACTGAAAAAGCTACCCCAGGCTGCGTGCTACTGGAGTCCTTCTTTCCATCTTTGGCATCTTTCCCTTTGGTCTTAGGTTCCTTTTCTTTGCTCTCTTTCCCAAATCCTCCAGAGGCCTTTGCCTCCTTCTCCCTTTCTTTTGATGATTGGACTTTTGGATCCTTCTCTTTACAGTCCTTTTCTTTTCCTAGATTACTACTCATGGTGACTCAACGTTCAGCAAGCACCGCATGAAATCTGTTTCTGAAGTCCACAAGAACAATTCAATGCTGAGGCAACAAGGATCCTTAAAACACACAAGTGTTGAACCCAGGGGGGAGCTTCAGAGGTGTGACACCCATTTGCTACATATTGGTTCTGAAGGCACTCTTTCCTAATCCTACTATCAGGAGATTCAGCTGCAGAGATCAGGTCAAATGCTCCGTATTAGTATTTCTGGAACATAAAGAAGAGAAGCCAAAGTTAGGGTAAATATAAAACTTCCATACTGAGTGTTTCTACATCAAGCCTGCGCTCACTAACTCAGGTTAATGATCTGTCCTTCTGTTCAAATGTCAACGGAAAACCAAAGGCTAAATCAAAAATACTACACATATTGCTCACAAAACCCACTGTGGTACAAGAACCGTACTAATTAGTATATGTGCGGGAAGAAAATTCACAATTCTTAAACATAATACTGCCTTCAGTACTACATTTCAGTCACCATCTTATGTCTTACCTAGTTCTTACAATAACCTCCTGGTCATCAACATCAATATTCTCTCTTCCCTCAATGCCCAACCAGCCAATAAATATCTGCTATAATTTTAACTGCCTGCCTCTTCAAAGAAAACCATACAGGCTTATTCTTTCAGCACAAGAGACTCTCAGTTCAATCTACAGTAAAATCTAATATGCTCAGTATACACAAACTTTTTGCCTTGTTTCTTCTGACCAGCTCTGAACTGCAGGTCTCTGCTTTTCATGTGAAGCAGAATGTTCTCACCAGCTTCACATGCTCTGAAGAACCAAGCACAAGGATTTTTAAAATACACCTATCAAAAAGTCAGCCCAAAGCCCAGAAGAAACAATATATTATGCTTCAAGACAAGCAAAATTATGAAGGAATTTCTCTTGGGAGTAGGACACAATATATCTTTACCATATCTTGAATTTTCCCCCTCAATGAATACAATGCAGCCTAATAAGTGAACAGATGTCTCAAACCTATAAAGACCCATTTACACTTTTACAAAATCATCATCCATCATGGCAAGTAGCTTTACTTCATGTTTCAATTCAAAACACATGACATGCCCAAGAACTTCATGATTCTATGTAACATGGAAAAGTTTTTGAATGTATCTTTGTGGAAGAAAAATAAACAATCAATGGCAACAATAATTTCACGTCTCCATATTAGTCCACCTTTTAGCTTTGATATGAAGTATCCACTGCTGAAGAAAGGTCCCTTGTTTCTCAGCCACCTTGTTTAAATAGTCTTAAAACCTCCACAGGAATTGTGTCACTGTCCTGGCATTCCAACTTCTGCACAAGTTATAAAGCTTGTAATCAAAACCAATTAAATAACATTTTGCATGTTTAAGCCATCAGCAAGTACTATAAATACAAACATATTTTAGCAAAGCTCAAGTAACCATTTTTAATGGTGGTCATGCTGTGTATGACTACCTTCAAATACAAAAATGTACACGGAGAACACAAAGCTGCACGCTTTGCTCTCTCTCTTCTCTCTCTCTATATATATATTTATATATATTCTTTTCTTTAAAGGTAAAGAAAATCTATTTAAAGATATTCAGAAGAACAAGGCACTTTATCCCAGCTGCAAATCCAGCTGTTTAGTAACTATGCTCAAAAGAGAACTTGCCACAGGAGGTGCCTTCCAGTCCTTCAACCTGAGTCATTACTGCTGCAGCATCACCAAGTGTGCTAGAAACACTGTAATATCAAAAAAAGAGAACGTCTCCCCCCCAAAAGAAGCCCAAAATTGCCTCCATTTCCTGTGTTTGGACAGCTTTGTTGTAATGGAACATGGGTGAATGCTGGCAGCAGCAATCAAAAACAGTTTTTAACTTGGAAATTTTCTGCACTGTTGAGTTTTCTAAAGTAGCACAAGCCAGTTCTTCACTAGAAGTTCTTTACTGGTTCTATCCTTAAGATTTCCACATGGCTTTTACACCATCCATTAATTTAACCTCTCCTCAAGATTACTAACCTCACCAGATTATATTTAAAACTGCTTCTCAGCAATGTATAATCTACACGCTTGTAAAATGCCAGTAATAGGACATGCAATGCCTCCCAATGCAAAAACACAGCTGACCAAAGGGTGGGAGCCTGGAAGGCTTGACAAGGTTTCCATTATGAAACAGTAACACAAAGAATCAAGAACTAACACAGTTTCTGAATTCCAATAATACACAGAAAAGGGACATGAGTACCAGAACAGCTACTGCTCCTCATCCAGTCCCCAAAGTGCTAAACACCCAAAGGGCTGCTGCTCTCTTGAGCTTTCAATTTAATCAAATTTAGGACCCACCAAGAGATTTGTTTCATTTCTTATGTGCACAGCAGCTGGAGGAGGTTTAGAAAGCGCCTCAGAAAGGAAAGGCTGCTGAAGATTAGTGCTGCTGAAAGCAGCTCCGCAGTGCAAGTGCTCCAAATAATGTGCACGCATTTCACTGTCTTGGTTAGCAATAACTCCAGTTGTACCTAGAAAGAAATTAAATGTTCAATGCTTCACATGATCTCTACTGCAGATCATTCAAGCTGATGTACTCACATACATCAAGTCAAACGTATGTAAACTTTTGGAGGGCATTAGTATAATAAAATATACTACAGAGGAAGTTAAATATGTTTCAAAAGGTTATGCATATTTTTCAAGCCCTTTCAGTTAAAGGACAAGAGTCACCATCAATTCTAAACCACAGTCAAACAAGCATTCATTGTATCTCAAAAGGAGAGCTTCTTTTAGAGATATTTTTAGCAAAAGGAAATTAAGTGAAATTAGCTAGTTCTGCCAACTACTTCCATTTTCCAATGCTGTTCAAACTGACTTCCTGTCAATATTAATTGACATAAAAACATTTAACTATTATGTCCTGGAGAACTTGGAAAAATTAAAAAGACTCTTAATTGGCACAGTATGTGAGGCAAAAAAAAAACTTTTAAAGAAGTTAAGGAAAATAATCTCTTCCCTGTTCCGAATATTACTTTTTTTAAGTAAAATATTTTTAAATAGCTATAAATAACCAACTTCAGAGTTTTGATCCACTCCTCCTGATGTCTGGTGAACATAAACCAGATGTATTTTGTTTTTTCTGTCATCTGCAACTGATGAAACTTCAGAAACAGAAGCAACTTCAGCCTAAATTGTATCACCTTCCTTACTATCTGGAAAAGAGGAACACATCTGCCTTGTAAATTTTAATGATTTTTTAAAAATATGTACAAGTAATTGAAAAGAGATTTCAGTTTTTCTGAGCAATACAACCTAGAACATTTATGCAATAAATGCTTTATTAAAAGTGCGGTAATGTAGGAACATTCTGCAGTTCTAGGAATAGCACTACACTAATCACTGCAATTTGGCAATATAAATACCAATGTTTCCTGGTCACTATCTAACACAATATGAGGCTTGAGATAAAGGATTTCAGCCAACTGCTATTCAAGCAAGGCTGTAGAACCTTAACTGTCTCCTACCCACTACTGCAAAGCAGTGGGACTCCCCAGAACAGGCTGCTCCCCACATGAATTACTCCCAGCAGTCCCTCACTTCCCAGAGGATGCGTTCAAGTGTCTTGTGACTTGTAATTATATGAAAGTTTCCTGTGAGTTCAGAGATGGTTTGAAGAAGAAATCGTTAACTGAAATGAAGAGTCTGCCACAGCTGAAACATTTCCCTCTCCAGTGATGAGGCTAACCAACAGCGCTCTTCTCTGCCAAAGGAAAATCATCGTGGCACGTCATCTTACAAAATGGTCACTTTACAGCTCCACCTAACCCCTTACTGGTTCCCCTTCTGCGTTTCAGTAGCCAAACCAGGCACCTCAAACCATAAACATTTCTGATATTCTAAGCATGTAATATCTAAGGCATCATTTTCACTGAAGTGTAAAACATTACACTCAAATGTAAGAGAATTTTACTTCTGTAATGTAGCAAGAGACATACAGGCCTGCATTTTAAAAGAATTTTTTTTACTACATATAGAACTTTTTATTACAATAGGAATGATTTTTCTCTTCATTCTGTGTTTGTACTAAACTTAACCCCTACCACAGCTAGGGCTTTTCAACCAAAATAACAGCAGAGGATCATTCTGAATACAAAACAAGTCAAAGAAATAAGGAATCAGCTCCCACTTCACACTCTGGAGTAAGCAGAGAAGTCAAAGAAATAAGGAATCAGCTCATACTTCACACTCTGGAGTAAGCAATTATTCTACTACATAATAATAAATAAAATGTTCTGAGATTGCAATTCTGATCCAGGTATTTCTGATTAGTCAGCCCTAAGTTACTGTCAACAACAAGGCAGAGTTCAAATGCTATCTGGTAATTGCAGCAACACCTCTTCACAAACACACACACACTAAAAAAAAAGAATCTACCCTGTTAAAAGTATTTACCTTTTAATTAGAGCAGCATGGGATACATCAAAAACATTTCATATTCACACCACAAAGATGAACACATCAATAAGCAACGGATGAAATTTAAAGCTTAGCCCAAGCGGCTACAATGAATTTCCATTTTCAATACCACATATGCAAAAAAAAAAAAAAAAAAAAAAACAACCCAAAAAAACCTCAACCACTATAGTCACTACTTTCATTTGGAAACCCAAATAGCTTAAGCCAACGAGTCACTTGCAAACAAAGCACATTCTCTCCTACAATTTGCTAGCTTCAAACATCTTCAAACTACAGTTTTCATCTGCCTAAGTGCATTTCAGCTTCTGCCACTGCAGCCACCACGGACCAGCTGGGAGCAAACTGCTGAATCAGTCACCAGCGGTTGCACAGCTCCTCTAAACACAAAACCTCACTCAGAGGTATGGAGACAGCAAGGGAACAACCAGCTATCGCTCCACCAGAGATCAAAACCAGCCTCATCTCTCTCAACAAAAGCAGTGCTCCTGAAATATGCCAGCTAGACAGCTTCTCCTCTTTGGGAAGAAATCTGTTATTCCAGAGCACAGGGTGCTCAATGGCAGCAGGGCAATACTGTCATGGTGCCAGCTACCCTGGTTGGCTTGTTCAATAGAAAAGGCTGACCATTAAATTCATCTCAGTCCTCTAAGTGGATGGCCAGCAGATGGTAGTTCACAGACTACCAATTCAGCCTGATTTCAACACCCCAGGACGTGACACAGCTTTCACCCTAATCCCCTCTCACGCTGAGGGAGCAGCTTGTTCACTG